CACTCTTTTTTTTTTTTTTTTTTTTTTTTTTTAAGATTTAACACTTAGGGAATATTAAGTTTCCTAGTTCATACCCTTGTCATCTGCTTTAGTGTTTACAGTTTTATTTATTTTTTGAAGAACTGATACGGAGGCATGACACAGAAGTCAGAAAGTCCCAGGTGGTGCTTAGGGACGGTCCTCTCCCTCCCTCTGACCCTGACCACTAAGAGGACACGACTCTGCTCTTGCTTCCTTCCAGAAATGTGTTCAGTTTTAAGTTTCATCACTAGACAGATTGTTCACGCTTGAAGAGCAGCAATCTTTGCCAGACTGAGCTGGGCCAGTGGTATGAGACTGAATTCCTTCTGCTCCGCCTGGGAGAAGGACTAACCAACTTCACTGTCTCAAGACAGGCAGATGGGGCCATCTGCAGGAAGCTGGACTCACAGGCCAGCGTCATATTGTGCAATACATACTAGTATTCGGGCAAACAATTCCTAAAATCCTTAAATGTCAGACAATGTATCTTTTAGTACGCTAATGAACTTACTGGTAGTTGGGCTGGAAGCCCCTGGGTGGTCTCAGGAGAGAAAGATCCAGGTAGGATCGATCAGAATGCTGATGAAGCTCTGGCTCCTGACTTCAGCCTGGCGCCCAGTACTGCTCCTTGTGGCCATCTGTTGAGTGAATGAGCGGATGGATGCTCTCTCTCTCTCTCTCTCTCTCTCTCTCTCTCTCTCTCTTTCTCTCTGTAACTCTGTCATTCAAATAAATAAACTGAAAGAAAATGTTTTTAAATAAAGTATTATGAAAGTGGAAAACGGGCCAGTTTCCCACCTTGTCTCCTTGGCCCTAAATGCTTTTGTTTTGCTGAACGCCAGACTGAAAACAAAGACCGTGACTTTTGAAAAGAGAAGCACCAGCTGGTGAGCTGGGTTTGTACAGGTCGGGTCCCTGTCCTTTCCAGCGCCCCCTGAAATGCCAACACCAGGTGGCAGCCTGGCTGTCTGCTGAGCCTGGGCCTGCCTCGGTCTCAGACCTGGCACAGACATCTGAGGCCTCTGTCTGGGTCCCACACGCAACAAACTGGATGAGCCAAGGTTACCCCTTGCTCCCCTGCCCTCGATGTTCCAAGACCACCAAGACTCTGGCCACCTGGGTGTGACGGTCACCTTGGGCCCAGCTTCCCCTCCCCCCAGGAAAGCATCCACCGAACAGAATGTTCAGGGAGGCTCTTGGGGTGGCTGAAGCTTCTCTCTCTATATTTTTCTTTTTTTTTTAAACTTTTATTTAATAAATATAAATTTTGAAAGTACAACTTTTGGATTATAGCGGTTTTTCCTCCCATAACCACCTTCCCACCCATAAACCATCCCATCTCCTACTCCCTCTCCCATCCCATTCTTCATTAAGATTTATTTCCAATTATCCTTATATACAGAAGTTCAACTTAGTATATACTAAGGAAAGAGTTCAACAGTTTGCACCCACACAGACATACAAAGTATAAAGTACTGTTTGAATACTAGTTTTGTCAACTTGCATAGTACAACACATTAAGGAGAGAGATCCTACATGGGGAGTAAGTGTACAGTGACTCCTGTTGTTGATTTAACAGTTGACACTCTTATTTATGACATCAGTAATCACCCGAGGCTGTTATCATGAGCTGCCAAGGCTGTGGAAGCCTCTCCAGTCCACAAACCTTGACCTTATTTAGACAAGTCCATAATCAAAGTGGAAGTTATCTCCTCCCTTCAGAGAAAGGTACCTCCTTCTTTGATGGCCCGTTCTTTCCACTGGGATCTCACCCACAGAGATCTTTCATTTAGGTCATTTTTTGCCACAGTGTCTTGGCTTTCCATGCCTGAGAAATTCTCATGGGCTTTTTAGCCAGATCCAAATGCCTTAAGGGCTGATTCTGAGGCCAGAGTGCTGTTTAGGGCATCTGCCATTCTGAGTCTGCTGTGTATCCCACTTCCCACATTGGGTCGGGTCGTTCTCTCCTTTTTAATTCTTTTTTTTTTTTTTTTTGGACAGGCAGACTGGACAGTGAGAGAGGCAGAGAGAAAGGTCTTCCTTTACCGTTGTTTCACCCTCCAATGGCCGCTGCAGCTGGCGCACCACGCTGATCTGAAGCCAGGAGCCAGGTGCTTCTCCTGGTCTCCCATAGGGTGCAGGGCCCAAGGACTTGGGCCATCCTCCACTGCACTCCCGGGCCACAGCAGAGAGCTGGACAGGAAGAGGGGCAACCAGGACAGAATCCGGTGCCCCGAACGGCACCGCAGGCGGAGGATTAGCCTATTGAGCCGCGGCACCAGCCTACTCTTTAATTCTATCAATTATTATTAGCAGACACTGGTCTTATGTGATCCCGTTGACACTTAATCCTATCTTTATGATTGATTATGAACTTAAACTGATCATTTAAGGCTGATCACCTCACCAACTGCTCTACCCAACACATCAGGACAGGGCAAGACTCATTTATTGTTCACCCTCAACAAGGAGGAAAGGCCGCCCCTGAATTCCACTCTTTGCATACTCTGAGGAGTGCTGGAGTTCGCCGAGGAGGAGAGTCAGCAGAGAGAGATCCCTGAGGGATGGCATCACCTTCCCGCCAACTCCCTCATTGCCTCGCCTTCAAAGCGGAAGGAGTGCCAGCCTTCGGCCTCAGTCAGATCTTGGGCTCCCAGGGCCTTGTACAAGTCCATGGCCTTCTTGTTCCAGTTCAGGACTGCCAGGCGGAACTGGGAGCAGCCCTTGTCCAGAGCCACCTGTGAGAGAAGACATCGCTCGCTCTCCTGGGATCGTGGAGGAAAAGGCTTTCTTTCCTTTATTCTCCCTTATTTCACCCGAGGGGCCTTTTTCTGGAACTCCCTGAAAGTGCCCACCCCTCTCCTCACCTCGGCCACCTTTTTGATTATTTTGGTGCCAATCCCCTGACCTGTTGTGGAGAGAAAGAGGCAAAAAGAGTGATGCAGTCGGGGGGGGGGGGGTGTCAGAAAAAAGGCCCATGCTGGGATGAGAGGGCAGGGGATGGTGGGGGGCCTTGCCCGTACCCCGGTATTCTGGCATCACGTAGATGTCCTCCAGATAAACGTTGCGTCCTTTCCATGTGCTGTAGATGTAGTAGTACAGCCCATAGCCCACCACAAAGGGCCCTGAGAGAGAGAGAGGTAAGGCGTGTGGGAGCCTGGGCCAGATACCTCTGGGATGGATGGGCAGGTGCTCTTACCCTGCGGCTCTCCAGGTTCTGGAAGAATCTCTGCGACCAGACAGTGATAGAAAGGATTCTCTCCAAAGCCATCTGCTCTCAGGACTGCAGAGATTGGAGTTGTGACAAAGAGACACAGAAGGAGGCCCTAGGTGCATGCCTAGCCCGGAGCTGCTGCCTGGGTAACCCATCCCTCACTTCCTCCCCGGGCTCCATCGGGCCCCAGGTGCTCAGTCCCCACCTTCTTCAGTGATCTTCACCTGATCAGAGAGCTTCTCGTATTCAGCAAGTTCCTAGGACGGAGGGACCCAGGCGAGATGAGGAGCAGGGTCCCAGGGCGCGCCCCTACCCCGGCCCCACCCGCAGGTCCCTGCTCAGGCCCCGCCCCATCCCCCTCCGGCACCACGGTTTCCGACCCGCAGCTTTCACCCGAATTAGCCTCAGGATGTCTCCACAGTCCCCCTCTTTGGCCTCTCGGATCCGCACGGAGGCCATCCCGGTCCCCAACGTCTGGACCAAAGTCCACAGTCCCCACTTCCGTCCTGCGGGGCTCCGCACAAGGGCCTACAAGCTCGGGTCCCGAAACTCCAGGGAAAGCGAGGCGGCGGAAGTTGCCGCGGACCAGGAAGCGGAGCGGGGGTCGGGCCAGGTGGTCCTCACCGCCCAGATAGCCCCTGGATGGTCCCCAAGCAGCAGCACTCCCACCAGCCAATCAGCTTGCAGAGTGGGCGCGGCCTCGCGCCAGCCCCGCCCCGACAGCGGAGTCTTGTGACCGGGCCCTGGAGCAGGGGTCAAGGCTGGAGCGCCCGGACTTCCTGGTGGCTGTTATCGGAGCGTCCCCGCCTCCCTGGGAGACGCTGCACGGCCCGGAAGTCACAGCCTCGCCTCGTGCTTCTTTAATGGAAGTGTGCATGGTTTTCAACTTAAGCCTTCACGCTCGCCCAGCCACTCGGGAGCACCCGCACTCGAGGGGGGCACAGCCCGGAGACCCCCAGCTCTGGATGCCTCCAAGTGTTATTTTCTGATTCAGGGGCATTTGCATTTTAAAATGGGTCAGACTGTTGGTAGACTGTTGGGTCCTGTACAAACGGATAAGGAAAGATAGTTGCGAGTGGGGGGCGGGCCCCTTCTTGGTACCCACTAAATCATCCCCAGACACAATACCTTCTTGTGCGAGGCGGCTCAGAGGCCTGGGAAAGCCCTGAGGGAGGCGTTCAGAGCAGATACCAGGCCCTCCCTTATCTCAACAACCCCATAAAGGAGGGATTATTTTGCTTTCAAGGACTAGGACTTGAAGCAAAAGGTGAGGTGACTTGCTCAAGGCTCCTGGGCTCCATCCTGGGGCTTTGGCATCCCCCTCCTGATAGAGGGTGCTCCCTGGGGAGCAGGGCAGGACTGCAGAGGCTTGGGGAGCCTGGCTGTGGAGGAGGAGAAGGGAGTGAGGTCTCCTCTCCCCATTCACTGGCTTTCTTGGCAATGAGGGATGGTAGCAGAGTGACCGGCCCTCACCCCGTTTGCCCGGAGAGGGGCCATAGGGTCAGTGGCCCTGTCCCTCTTCCCCCGCCAGGGCAACCTTTAGCCTTCCACCACCCTTTGGCAAAGCTGCCTGCCCCCACATATTCATTGTCCCGGGAGCTGAGTGAGCCAGATTGGAGCCCGGCTGATTGTGGAGAGCAGAGGCCTGATGGCTACTCCGCCACTGCCGCCGCTGCTGCTGCTGCTGCTGCTGCTGCCTCACGCCCACCATCGGCTGGCCCTGAGAAGCGTTCTGGCCACCCAGGTGCAGAAGCCCGGCCCTGCGTGGGCTTCAATGAGCCGCATTGCCGGTTCTGCCCTCCTCCCTTCTCTGCTTATTCTCTATTTTCTCTCCCTGATAGAGGGCCCAGGACTCTCCTGCTGTGCACCTCATCAATGGCCTAGGACAGGAGCCTATCCAAGTGCTGACCTTTGACCTCACCAGGCTCGTCAAGTAGGGGATTGACCCATTCCCCCGGCCCTACCCTCTTTCCCTGTCTACCTGCCTGTCCTCTCTCCCTAACCCCACGCCCCCCCAACCCCACGTGCACCCTCACACGCTTTCCATCTGTGTCCTTACAGAGCCTCCTCCTCCTTTGAGCTCCGAACGTGGGATTCAGAGGGAGTGATTTTTTATGGGGATACCAGCCCTAAAGATGACTGGTTCATGCTGGGACTTCGGGACGGGAGGCCGGAGATCCAAATGCACAATCCCTGGGCCCAGCTGACTGTGGGCGCTGGACCCCGGCTGGATGACGGCAGCTGGCATCAGGTAAGCTAGCTCTGGTCTGAGATGGGAATTCTGAAGTTCAGTCCGTGGCGTTAAGTGACAAGGTCCGAGCCAGCCAAGGACACCGGCTGGGTCTCGAGCGCGTGTGTTCTTCGCACGCCTGTAAGCTGCCTCTGAGTAAGTGGGGGGAGCAGACCGCGGGGCCCTGGGATGCGGCTTCTCACCGCCTTCCTGCAGGTGCACGTAAAGATCAGGGGTGACTCGGTGCTGCTGGAGGTGGATGGGGAGGAGGTGCTGCGCCTGAGCCAGGTGTCTGGGACCCTGCACAACAAACCCCAGCCCGTCATGAAGCTGGCAGTGGGGGGGCTGCTCTTCCCCCCCTCCAGCCTTCGGTTACCGGTAACCACATCACCAGGGCAGGAACTTGGCCCTGGGCTGCGGGGCGGGGGCGCGGGGTGGGGGCAGCTCGGTGGGTGGCCCGTGAATCTAAGTGCATGATTTTAAGGAGAGGGGGTAGTTTGGGAGCTACAGTGGGGGAGACCAAATGCTTGAGCCTCGGAGGGCAGTAAACTGTGGGCAGGGAGGCTGGGCTGGGGCTCGGACGCCGTGATCCCAGTGTCAGCACATCTTCCTTCTCCCCATCCCGGCCAGCTGGTCCCTGCGCTGGATGGCTGCCTGCGCCGCGGTAGTTGGCTGGACCCACAGGCCCAGATCTCAGCCTCTGCCCATGCCAGCCGCAGAAGCTGTGATGTGGAGTTGCAGCCTGGGATATTCTTCCCTCCAGGGACTCACGCAGAATTCAGTCTCCAAGGTAGACTTCCTTTGGATCTCTTTCTCCTTCCATTACCGGCTCTCCCTTCCTCCGACAAAGCCCCTGTCTGGAGGCATCAGGAGGATGTGTCTCTCCTCAGACATTCCCCAGCCCCAGACAGAGCCCTGGGCCTTCTCTTTGGACCTTGAACTCAAGCCCTCCGAGGGCTCAGGCCGCCTTCTTGCCCTTGGGACGCCAGAGGACCCTAATTGGCTCAGCCTTCACCTGCAAGATCAAGTAAAAGGAGGGCAGCCCTGCTTGTACCCAGTGGGACCTGGGAGCAATGGGGAAAGCGAGGCTCCAAAATGTCAGTATTATCTAGGCTAAAGAGTGGGAGCCAGGCACATACTTGGAAGCTGCCTACAGCAAGTAAATGCCTTTTACTTGTTGGGCTGGGGGTGGCTGTATAGAGGACAACTGGGGCAGGATTTAAGGGGTGAGAACTAGGTGAAGCTAAGAGGCAGAGGGCAGTCTGCTCAGGGTGAGAGCCTAGGAGAAGGTGTTGCTCTGTCTTTCCTCCCTTAACACCTGTCCCTGTCCCGCACACGCTGCAGAAGGTGGTGCTGTCTTCTGGGATGGAACCAGGGCTGGATCTGCCCCTGGCCTGGGGACTCCCTCTTCAGCTGAAGCTGGGTGTATCCACGGCGGTCTTGAGCCAGGGGTCAAAGAAGCAGGCCCTGGGTCTGCCTCCCTCGGGCCTTGGCCCCCTCCTCAACCTCTGGGCCCAGCCTCAGGGGCGTCTCTTCCTGGGGGCCTTACCAGGTAAGGGAGAGTGATGTTCGAGGGGCACACTGGAGGGGAAAGAGATCTCCGGGGGCGGGGAAGGCCACAGAAGAGACAGGCTCAGGGAGCAGTGGGACGAAACGCTTTTGGAAACTCAGGGTGGAGAACTTGAAAAGCGGGGAGAGGCTGCTGGGCCCAAACCACCCTAATGCTGTCTGCCACCTCCCCGTAGGAGAGGACTCTTCTGCCTCCTTTTGCTTGGACGGCCTTTGGGCACAAGGCCAGAAGTTGGACATGGACAAGGCCCTGAACAGAAGCCAAGACATCTGGACTCACAGCTGTCCCTCGAGCCCAGGCAATGGCACCGACACCTCCCATTAAAGCCCCCTTGCATCTCATTCATTCATTTCTTGAAAAACTTGTCCCGTGCACAGGCAGTGGACCAGGCACTCACTGTGCCACGCACTGAGTTGTGTTGATGAGCAACACTTGGCTCCTCCCCTCTTGGTGGTCCCAATCTAAAGTTAACCAACGGGTGGGCAACTGGAAGCTGTCACAAGTGTGAGGAAAGAGCAGGCAGAGAATTATGAAAGGTGGAGACCACCAAGAGGCCCCCCAGGGAGGGCTTCTCAGAGGCAGCTCCGTAGGCTGAGATCCCACAGACACACGGGTAAGGGTCACTTTACGGAAGCCTGGTGCCCACCTCCTTCCCCAGCATCTGGTCCCTTTGAGACTCCAGAATGGTCTGGAAAGGTCAGGAGGCAGAAGGAGAGATGGAATTGTGTTGTCTCTGTCATTGTAGGCCTTGGACTGGTGACTGCTGCTCAGGGAAGGAGCAGCAGGGGGCGCGAGAGGGTCATGGAGAGATGGGGGCAGGGGTTCTGGGAAGGGGAGGGTGTGCGGAGGCGGGGAGGAAGAGAAAGGGAGGGGAGCACAGGGAGGCCCTCTCTCCTAGTCCACCTGCTGAGTGCCCATTTGCTGCTCTCAGCTGGGACAAATACATCCAGGAATATCTGTGCCCTCAAAGAAGGTGGGCCCCAACCCTCAGACCTGGGCCCCTGGAGACTTCCAGTGCCCCACCTTCTCTGTGGCACCTTCCTGTCTCAGCCCCCAGCTCGGGGTGGGGTGGGGTGGGGGAACGCTTGTGTCAAGCTCCCAACTCCTGGCCCCAGCTCCCAGACATGTTAGGGAACCCATGTGCCCCAGCCCGAGGCTCCTGCCCACTACAGAGCCCTCAGGGCTCCAGCCCTCAGTCTGCTCCTCTCATTCCTCATCTCTCTTAAGAACTGTTAAGCCAGGGGTTGACACTCTGGCTTAGTGGGTAAAGCTACTGCCTGCAGTGCCGGCATCCCGTACAGGCGCCAGTTCGAGTCCAGACTGCTCCATTTCCAATCTAGCTCTCTGCTATGGCCTAGGAAAGCATTAGAAGATGACCCAAGTGCTTGAGTCCCTGCACCCGTGTGGGAGACCTGGAAGAGGCTCCTGGCTTCAGATCAGCTCAGCTCTGGCCATTGTGGCCATTTGGGGAATGAACCAGCAGATGGAAGACCCCTCTCTCCCTCTCTCTCCCTGCCTCTGTAAATAAATAAATAAATATTTATATTTATTTCAATATTTCAAATAAATTTTCAAATAATATTTCAAATACATAAATATATTTTAAGATTTTTTAAAAACTATTTATTTATTTGAAAGTCAGTTATACAGAGAGAGGAGAGACAGAGAGAGAGAGGTCTTCCATCCAATAGTTCACTCCCCAATTAGCTACAATGGCCGGAGCTGCCCTGATCCAGAGCCAGGAGCCACGAATCAAGAGCTTCTTCCTGGTCTCCCATGCGGGTGCAGGGGCCCAAGGATTTGGGCCATCTTCTACTGCTTTCCCAGGCCATACCAGAGAGGTGGATAGGAAGAGGTGCAGCTGGGACTCGAACCGGCGCCCATATGGGATGCCAGGACTGCAGGTGGCAGCTTTACCTGCTATGCCACAGCATCGGCCCCAGAAAAATCTTAAAAAAAAAAAAAACACACACACACACCACAACAACCTGCTAATCCATTCCCCAATCTCCAGGCTCCATGGGAATCTCAGGGTCTCTCAGCTGCCTGGTTTCTTTAAAATATATATGTGTGTGTGTGTGTGTGTGTGTGTGTGTGTGTGTGTATAGGCAGTTACAGAGAGGGTGAGTGAGAGAGAGAGATCTTTCATCTGCCGGTTCACTCCCCACATCCCCACATGGTCACAGCAGCCAGCCCTGGACCGGGCTGAAACCAGAAGCCAGGAACTACTCCAGGTCTCCCATGTGTATGGCAAGTGCCCAATCACTTGGGCCATCTTCCACTGCTTTCCCAGGCACATTAGCAGTGAGTTGGCTCGGAAGTGGAGTAGCAGGGACTTGAACCAGTGCCCCTATAGGATATCGCGTAGGCAGCCACTTAACCTGCCACAGTGCTGGTCCCAAGCTTCCTAGCTCCTTACACAGGTCTTCCTATAATTAACCCCGGCGACAGGGTGAGTCACTCAGCCTACTTGCTGTCCCCTTCTGCAGGGATCAGCCTGGGCTTACATAAGCCAGGAGTAAGAAGACTTCAGTGGAGTCTCTGGGGTGGAAGACACACATCCAAACTCCACCTTGTACCCCTTGCAATCTTGAGTCTACAGCTACATTCACCCAGCCAACAGTAGGAGAATCCGCAGCGTGGCAAGAGAGTGCAAATTAAGTTTCCCCTTGGGAAGTGTTCGAGATCCATCTAGGCTCCCTGTGTATGTTCATCCAACTGATACTTAGTGAGTACCTACTCTGTGCCAGGCACTGTTTCTTTTTTCTTTTCTTTTTTTTCTTTTTCTTTTTTTTTTTTTTTTTTTTGACAGGCAGAGTGGACAGTGAGAGAGAGACAGAGAGACAGGTCTTCCTTTTCTGTTGGTTCACCCCCTCATTGGCCGCTGCGGCCGGCACGCTGCGGCCGGTGCACCGCGCCTATCTGAAGGCAGGAGCCAGGTGCCTATCCTGATCTCTCATGGGGTGCAGGGCCCAAGGACTTGGGTCATCCTCCACTGCACTCCCGGGCCACAGCAGAGAGCTGGCCTGGAAGAGGGGCAACCGGGACAGAATCCGGTGCCCCGACCGGGACTAGAACCTGGTGTGCCAGTGCCACAGGCGGAGGATTAGCCTAGTGAGCCGCGGCGCTGGCCAGGCACTGTTTCAGACACTGATGGTGCATTAGTGAAAATGACAGATGTGTTCCCTGTTCTCATGGAGCTCACAATATTGGAGAGGCAGACAAATCAGCAGGATCATTTCAGATAGTGGTTACAGCTAGCGGCAGATGCTGTGGTTCAGCAGGTTAAGCTGCCGGTGGGGATGCCTGTGCCCCGTATCTGAGTCCCTGGTTTAAGTCAAGGTTACACCGCAGTCAGACCCAGCTTCCTGCTGATTCTGAGAGGCAGCCAGTGATGCCTCAAGTACTTGAGTCTCTGTCGCCCTTGTTGGGAGACTCTGATGGAGTGCCAGGTTTTCTGGCTTCGACCTGGTCCGGCCCTGGCTGTTGTGGGCATTTGGGTAGTGAACCTGCAGATCAGAGACCTCTCTTTGTCTTTGTCACTCTGCCTTTCAAACAAATAAAATTACAGATTTTCCTTTTAAAGAGTTATCAGAACTATAACAAAATGAAATCGTATGACAGAATGGAGGGGGTGGGAAGGGCGTCTGCTAGGTGGCAGGGGAGGCCTCTCAGGCAGTGTCACTTGAGCACAGATCTGAATAATGAAAAGAAGTCACCCTGAGAAGGCCTCAAGTGTGAGCCCGTTGGGGTGGGGGTGGGGTGGGGGCGGGGGCGGGTGAGCCGGATACACCTGGGTACCCCGAGGGTGTTCTGAGGGCAACCTCGTGACCCCGTGTCCCTGGAATCTCCCGGGGGCTGGCTTTCCTCCCTCCCCGCTACTCTCTCCTCCGGGACACTGTGCCCCCAGCCTTTCTCCAGCCTGCCCTAGATTCCTCTGATTACCATCCAGAGCTGTCTACACTCTTTCATTAAGACTGACTTTGCGTCGACACACGCTGTGCCAGGCCCCCGCCAAGGGCACCCACGATGCCTGCCCAGTGCCCTCTGCCTTCCCCACACCCCCAAACTTTTCAGAGCTGGGCAGCACAGCCTGCAGCCTCCAGGCCTGGTCTCCCTATTCACCCCACCCTCTCCTTCTCTCTCTCCTCCCCTCTCTGCTCCCTCTTTTACTTTTTTTTTTTCCCTCTTTTACTTTCACTTAACATTTACTGGTTGCTGACAGTATGCCAGGCACTCTTTCTGGGTAGTCCCTAGAGATAATAATGATAATTTCTTTAAAAAAAAAGATTTATTTTTATTTGAGAGTCAAGAGTTAGAGAGAGAGAAAAGTACAGAGAGAGAGAGAGAAAGATCTTCCATCTGCTGAGTTGCTCCTCGGATGGCCAGGAGCCAGGAGTTTCATCAGAGTCTCCCACATAGGTGGCAGGGCCCAAAGACTTGGGCTGCCTTCTGCTGCGTTTCCCAGGCCATTAGCATGGAGCTGGATCGGAAGTGGGGCAGCCGGGACTAGAACCTGTGCCCCATGGGATGCTGGTTTGCAGACAACAGCCCAACCCACTGTGTGACAATGCTGCAGGTGTTTCAAGATGAGATGCAGGTATCCCAAGTGGCTTCTTAACTGCTGTATCAAACATTCGTCCCGCTAATGAAACATGAGATGTGGAACAGGCCCTGGCGAACTGAGGTCTTGGGAGAGAGACTGATAAGTAAATGTAGAGCTATCTGTAGTGCACTGGGGACCTGGTGTCTCCTTCCACACAGGCTTACTGAAGACGTGAGTTATTACTAGATGACCAAACCTTTTCAGAGTTTCCCCGTGTACAACATGGGTAACTTTTTTTTTTTTTTTTTTTTTTTTTTTTTTTTTTTTTGACAGGCGGAGTGGACAGTGAGAGAGAGAGACAGAGAGAAAGGTCTTCCTTTTGCCGATGGTTCACCCTCCAATGGCCGCCGCGGCCGGCGCGCTGCGGCCGGCGCACCGCGCTGATCCGATGGCAGGAGCCAGGAGCCAGGTGCTTTTCCTGGTCTCTCATGGGGTGCAGGGCCAAGCACCTGGGCCATCTCACTGCTACTCCGGGCCACAGCAGAGAGCTGGCCTGGAAGAGGGGCAACCGGGACAGAATCTGGCGCCCCGACCGGGACTAGAACCCGGTGTGCCGGCGCCGCGGCTCACTAGGCTAATCCTCCGCCTAGCGGCGCCGGCACAACAACATGGGTAACTTCTATCCATAGGGTTGCTGGGAAGATTTGATGAGGTCATGTGGGTAAGCTCCACGTCTAATACAGTGTTTGGCATGGTAGAAACTGCTCAACGGGAGCTGGTGTTGGTGCAGTGGG